TTAATTTATTTAATTTAAAATGTATTGGCTTGCCTCTGTACATCATACTTTCCCTTTAGCAATAGAGTCGTGCTGGTCATCTTTCAGGAGAAAATGTTTGAATTGAAATAATGTGATTTCCGGTACAAACTGGAAGTTCATATATAGTTAATCTTGATCTCCTGCCCCTAAGGTTTCCACATCTGATCTCATCTTTGATCTATCTAACTCCGTTCTTGAATTAAGGAAAGACAGGCAGACAACAGACAGACAGTGGAAATTTATAGGTCTACAAGTTTTTTCAAATTGCAGCCCAATGATATATTCATTATGAAACAATCATTTATAGTTAATATTTGTAAAAAGTTGACAAAATTTGACCTGATTATTGCTAATAAAAATTTGTTCAAATGATATTTATGCATATGTCAGATTGTTTCATTCATCTGTTTCATCTTTCAATTATATTTTCTATAAATAACACCAATAAATTATATTGTCTTCTGTTAAACAGTCCTTATGCTGGTAATTCTTCCAATCTCTCTCACATGCTTAATGCAGTCAGCTCCTCTATCTGCAGTTACATTATCAAGAGTTTCTTCCAATATCATTTTTTTCATAATACTGTTTAGCCTGTGTAATGAAACTCAATAGGATTTAGTTTCAGTGATATGGTGGCAGGTGTAAAACTGAATGGCCATGTTCTTTTAATGTTTTGTCATGTGGTCGTATGCCTTATTTTGTATATTGTTGTACATATTATTATTAGTATTTATTTCATTTTCTTCCTCTGTTCTTGGTTCTTTTGTCTATCACTGTCTAGAAACTTCTTTGCTAATCCTTCCCTGTTTGGGTGGTGGTGATGTAATTACAAGACAAAAGAAAGGGGTAACCCTGAGGGCTAAAAGGGAGACAAGAGCTTACTTTTGGCTTGAATGTTGGAGAGCTAGGATGTGTTGAGGATCTCCAGGTCATTTTGGCATCGACTGGAGAACAAAGGAGATGATAAGCCTCTGCTAGCATTTCAGAGGAGACCGAAATATCTCGATGTAATGACCTTCGGAAGCTGCTTGAGAGAACGTGAAGAGTTCTACAATCATCAATCTCTACAATTTGGGGAGTTAATAATTCAGCAATCACCACCATCACCCCAAGATCATCAATAACTTTGGGTACCCATTCTTTACAATCACTATATATCCATCTATCCTATGGTCTATCCTTTCTTCCACTCTCTCTTTTTTTTTTAATAAGTAGCTTTAAGTATTTAATCAGAGTTCTTTTTTTCTGTACTGCAGTGGATATTTTCGGTTGGTTTTTTGTTGCGAGATTATACTTAACGATTCTGTCCAAGTATCTGCAGGAATTGCACGTAAAAGAACAAAAACAAGTGTCAGAATCTATAAAAGAATTCTGTAAAGAAAATAAACATGGGTGAAAGAACAACATGTGTATGTTATATGCTTATCCTCTTGTTGGATTACACTCACCGTGTGCGTATCGTACAGTCACCTACATAACAGTTAGTTTCTACTTCATTCTCTTATAGCAGCTCCTCCTTTAACGGATCAGGAGGATATGAAATGTTTTGATGGTGTAAGAAAGATGCAATGTCATCATTTTTCCATGTACTTGTAGGGGTCTAGCCCTACAAGTACATGGAATATACACGAGGTCAGAGTGAAATCGATGATCTTTTATAGGTATAGAATATACCCGTCATGTTATTTCATTTATCCTTCCTCTTATCATTCTTTAACAATCTGTATATTGGGGCAACTATGTGGAGCTTAAAACAAAGGATAAATGAACACAAATACTTTGTGAGTAGGAGCATTGATAGTACTGTACTTGCAGCATTTGCCAAACAACAGGATATCACCGTATTATGGGATCGAGCGGCAATCATTAGAGCTACGAGATCTATACAAGCTGTGAGGCATCTTGAAAAAATGGATACACAAAGCACATATTACTACAGAATGCATTAATCACAGGGATGCTGATGGATTATCCACTGCTTGGAAGTCCTTTTATAATAATACAAGTTAACATATGTATCCTCGTGGACGGCACTATTATTTATTTTATATTTGTTTGTTTGTATTTTTCATTTATTTTTTGTGTTTTTGAATAACCCAGAAGTGCATTTCCGTTGATCTGCGCAATCGTGGTTTGAGTTTATTTAATTTTTGTATTACATAAATTCGAATGCTTTGCTCTTTTTAATATTAGAATAACTGATGAAGACCGCTAAAATCGGTGGAGAACATTTTTATTCAATTAAACATTTTGCTAGACTGTTAAAAAGGCATTATTTATACTATTTTTATATATTTTATTTTAGTTCCAGTAAGAATTTATTGTTTACTTATTAATTTAGAAGGCTCTGGAAGAAAAGAATTGGCCCAGAGTTGAACTTGAACCTGTAGCTGCTTACTGTATGGATGCGTTGTCAGTTACACTAACTGGACTTCTGTCCAATCTTTGCTTCCAAATTACAGGTAATAAGTATTTTTTTTATGAATCTGTGTATTTTCATATTGTTGACTTGTTAAGCACTGACTTTATAGTGTATTTTGAAGACACATGGCAAATTTTCATCATTTATCTTTATTTAGTCGGTACGGTACATCATTTTTCTGTACGTGTTTCGTGCTGTTTTTGCCCCTCTTCAACGAACTATAATATAATGCATGTTGATTACTTATTACAATAGAAAATATGTACATAAAACTAGTAAGTACGTAAATGATACATAAACATACCTTTAAATTACGAATTGTATAGATTAAAATCGTATAAAATTCTATTTTACTATTAACTTACATAAATATCCATTTAAAATCACTTGTGAATAGATAATTTGTATTATTTATACATCACTATCACAAAGTATTAACTATATAGATGAACTTTTCTCCTCCTCCTTCTCTTTGACATTCTTCTGGTGTTGCCACGTATGAGAGTTGGCCATCTTGTGGCAAAGTTAATTATATTTTAAATTATTTTTTTTATAGTATATTAAGCCAGTTTTTATTTATACTTTCTTTGCTTTTTATAATTTCTATGCTTTCTTTAAACTTTCTATTGTATGTTACTTTTTCTTTATGTAGTATTTTTACGTTATCTTTGTCTATATTGCATCCATTTAGGGTACAATGTTCATAAAATGCGGAGTTTATTCTGTTATATTTTAGGTCGGCTATATGTTCTTTTAGTCTAACTTTTAGCTTTCTTTTTGTTTCTCCTATGTAATATTTGTTGTTGTCATCGCAGGTACTGTACATGGAATTTTGTATACGGTGCTCTGAGCTTCAAATCGGTGTTTGTTGTTTTTTCTCTGGGTTCAAATTTTTCAGTCTGGTTGACATTTTTTGGTACGATGGTGGTAGTTTGAAGTTTATTTTTTCTATTTTGGTATCGATTTTTTTCATATAGACCTTTAATATAAGAAAACTTGATATATTTTACGTTACTTGTTTGTTTATTTTTGTATAGTTTTTTTCCTCATCTTTTCAGCAGTCTCTGTGGAAAGCCGGCTAGAAGAAATTTCTGTCTTAAGTCTGCTAGATCTTTGTTTGTGTGTTCTCGTGACTTGTTCTATTTTTTATTTTAGTATATTCCATTTTAAATATGTTGTAATTGACATATAATGGCATTTTTGATTGATATTTTGTTGTTATTTGGTTGGAGCCTGGTTTCTTATAAGTTCTGTATTCTAGATGATGTTTTGATCTTTTTATTGTAATATCCAGATAATTAATTTCTCGTCTTGTTATGTCTTCTGTTTCTATTTTAAATTTTATTGCTTTGTGTATACTATTGATTTGTTTTTGAATTTCTTCTGCCGTGTTTTCTGTTTCGTTATATATTATTAGAATGTCGTCGACATATCTTCTATAGAATTTTATTCCTGGTATGTTGCTAATTCTGTTGTCTATGTCTATCATAATTAGTTCAGCCAGTGTTGGACCTAGTACTGATCCCATACTTATTCCTTTAATCTGTGTATAATAGTCGCCATTAGTTTCGAAATAATTACTTCTGTATGTGAAGTCTATTAATTCTTTTAGTTCATTGTCGACTTCTAAGTTGTTTGTCTTCTATTAAGTCCCAAGTTATCGACGGATACATATCTATAATATCCAGGCTGGCTATTTAAAATTTTTCTTCTATATTTAGTTCTTTTATAAGTTCATCTGCATTCTTAATCGCAAGGTGTGAATTTTGATATTATTTGAGTTTTTGTTTTAGTAATTTTTCCAGGTTGTACAACATTGAATATTTGAAATCTATTATCGGTCTTAACGTATCTTCAAAATACACTATAAAATCAGTGCTTAAGAAGTCAAGGTAATAAGTAATTTGGCCAAGGCTCTAGGCCAAATTACTTAGCACTTAATTATTAATAGTAGCAGTAATATAACCCAATCTAATCTGACAATCATTTGACTTTAAGATAATTGATGTTTTCTAAGAGAGATGTTTTTGTTTCTAATAATTGTCAAGTATTCTTACATGCAAATTATTTTATTAATAAATAATAATAGAACTTTTTGGTTTTGTTTCAAGGAAAAAATTCGTATATTATTGCTTTACATAATTTGCAATTCAACATGGCAACTTGAATTAATTGTTCTTTTGTGTAGAAATATTTCTGGTTACCTTACATATGATAAAGTTTATAGATCATCTAATATTACAACACTTGTATAAGTTGTTGACATATATAGTGTAGTGCAGTGTATAATCATATCTTGTATCTGCTACATAATAACTAAGTGCAATTGCATTGGAGTATAGGTAATTGCTAGTGGTGTGTTTGTTGATTTGAACCCCCCTTTTCACAGGTCCTGTGAAAGATAATGGTATAGTTTAACTACAAAGTTCTAGACTGTTCAAGACTGGTGCAAATACTCAAAGGGGAAGTGACTGAATATTGTCAAAAAGGAGTGATTCAGTATACTATTTGTATACTGAATGACCATGATACTGTATATAAGTTTGTAGTAGGCCATAGTACTACTATGCAAATCTAAATTAACATTGCTAAATATAATTTATTTCAAAAATATATATCATTTTCCAAAAAATGAAAAAATACAATGTATGGTAATACAAAAATGCTGGTGATGATGTTCAGCATACATAAATGACACAAAATATTTGCTTGACAAATAACACTTCAATGATTTTTTTCTATATACATTAACTAATATTTTTGATATAAAGGATTTTCTAGTCCTAACGTTTTTAGTTCTGTATCCTGTGAAAAAAGAGAGAAATTGTCATTATGAAATAGAAACCGAAAACTTTTTAAATGTAAGTAAAGTCAGAAACCGTACATGTGGTCCAGGTACTTGAGTATCTAATTCTCCAAAACTAAACTAAAATAGAAAAAATATTTTAATAACTTATCATTAAATTAATTATAAAATTGATTCAGAGAGTATAACTTACATTATCTATGGTCATTCCATAAACGGGATTATCTACTGTGCGTAATGAAGATGAAGTATCTCTGCATTAAAAAAAAAAAAAATGCATTAACTTCAGTTATTATAAAAATAAAAATGAAGAGAAAGATCATACGTTGTGTCGTACGTTTGCCTCTTTCTCCAGTATCTTAATATCAGAAGGACCATTGCGACAAGTAGTAGGGTTCCTATCACAACTCCGGCAATCCATGCTTTGCTTTCTTTAACATTATCTTTAATTTCATCTAATTACAAAAATTAAATTTTATAAGCTTTGATGATAAACAAAAATAAAATACAGATACAGAAAATTAAAAGACTTGCCTTTAATTTCAGCAGTTTTCACACATCTTTTACCAATATGACTGGGTTTACAACTGTAACATATGTTGAATTTAATTAGAATGATTTTAGAAATTGTTTTTTTTTTTCCATTAAATTTTACTTTAAATCATACATTTTAATAAGTAATAACATTGATAACCCCTTCCTTTACCCAGAAAGCAGGAAGATTTATATAAATGTCTACATATATACATGCCATATATAATGAAAATACTGTTAGATTTTATTCTCTGAGTTTGGTTATAATTGTTAACATACTTATAAGACTTTCTCTAACAACAAATCCTCGTTAAGCATAGAAAAAAATTCAAAATTATGACATAGAATAATGCAAACCATTTAAAACAATTGCATAAAGTACTGTATCTTTCAACTCAACAATCCATCAAATATGTTTTGTAAAAAAAAATTAAATTGTTAAAACATCATATTAGAATATCAATTGTTCTACAAGAGTAAAAAATCTCTAGTGTTACTTTCAGGATATCATATATTTAAAAAGAACTTAATGTCAGGTTCTACTGCAGGTATTTTCATGCATATACCCCACAGAAAATTCATTCAGCAGAAAAACCTTTGTATAACTTGTCCCATCTACTGACAGTATGATACTTATTTTATGAAGTTTAGAAGGTATCAACCAGGGCTGTGGAGTTTTGGTGTTTTAGCCGGAGTCGGATGGTAAGGAAAAGTCGGAGTTGGAGTCGGTAGATTTTTACGCGACTCCACAGCCCTGGTATCAACTCAACTTGAAGTGAAATATAATTACATCTACATTAAAATGCCATAATACAGTTGCTAAAATGATCCACTGGAACTTGTGTCAACTACAAAAAACAAAAACTCCGAAGTTAAGAGCCTGTGGGACTTCAGAATATAAATGGACAAAGTTCTAGCACATAATACCCCAGATATAACTGTAGCTGAGAAAAAAAGTGTGGATCAAAGACATTGCCATACCAGGAGACACCTGAGATGATGAAAAATAACAAAATATCAAGATTATGGCATAAACTAGTAGTAGTGGTACCAGTGGTCATTGGCACACTGGATGCTGTTCCAAATCATTATGCCAGCACTGAAGATCTGAAAATTGGAAAAATCACCAGAAGATAACTATAAAAGGCTGCACTACTTGGATCCACACATTCTATGCAGATCTTAGATTCTTCTCTAAGAATCGGATGTATAAAATGGTCAACATTAGTGATACAACCAGCACTGAGAAACAAGGATATTGACATAAACTTTAAAAACTTATTATTCTAATATCCAATAACACAAATTTGAGAATCGATCACTTGGTTCTTATTGCTATTGAGAATTCTAAGCTTATTTTAGATAGACATTTGCTGACAGAAGTGAAAGCAGAATGAGAAACACAATTTATTTTCATACAGAAAATTTTATTTTCACTGCTGTTTTCATGAATTGAACAGTCATATGAAAACCACTACCAACATTGTTAAAACAATTCAGTCAGTAATAGCTATTTTTTGGTACTTAAATAAATGGATGAAGTATCAAAAATTGCAAAGTTAATTATAATTATTATAGAAATATTCTTTGTAGCTACCATGTTTGAATCTCTCTCTTTCTTATTTTCATCAGTGTTTTTTGTTAGAAGAAAAGTTGAACATGTTAATATTCTGTTCTGCACATTGCAGTTGCATTATTTGCCAGAAATGATATCTGCTGAAACAATACTCATTTCTTCTTTCACTAACAATTTACCTTCTGTATGAAGTAAGCTTAAAATAAATTCAAAAATTTAATAATAGTTAATTAGAAAATAATTTTATTAGGTTGGGTTTAGTGAATTATACTCTGTTAACACCAGCTGCTGTATAGTATGCCGGACCAGAATCAAGACTAAAATTAAATAAGTGTATTAGTGTGTGTCTGTATTCAGGAATTTCCTAACAATATGACATGTATACAATATAATGGCTTTCTGTAGTGTGATATATGTATTTCTATTCAATTGTAATGTTCCCAGGCTTTTGTGTAGTGTGTGGTATCACACCTGTACAGGAGAGAACGACAGGTACAATAAGCACCCTATCCATCCTCCACAGATGCCTGATTTCCTGGGCGAGTTCTGTGTACTTGCTAATTTTTTCAGTGCATGTGTTTTGTACATTGTGAGTGTTTGGAATGGCTATGTCTATAATGTATGTGGTTTTATTGTGTTTGTCAATGAGTGTGATGTCTGGTCTGTTGGTTTAGATTTTACGAATACGTGAGCCGTTCATAGCCCAGCACACGTATTCGTAAAATCTAAGTGAATCGTACAACATGGAATTCATATAAAACAGAATAATCAACAGTGTTATAGGGGGGTCGACTTGTATATGTAAATGAGATAGGTGGCAGTTATGATGTCTATATGGCAAATAGGTATAAGTTGATGGCAGCTTGAAGAGAAGTACAGTACACTAGCTAGACTAAATGATTAACTTGAATTGGTATTTGAATCTTGTATTGAAAACCCTTTATCTATGGACTAATTTTTTTTCTGTTGTGCTAATGAATTCTTAATAAATTGTTTAGTGATCAATAAGCATTTGGCAGCAATACAATTATAACTATTGTTCAAAAACTTTTATATATATATTCTTAACAATATTTAATGGTAAAATATAGTTCTAATAATATAATATTCTAAAAATAGAGCAATATTAAATGTAAAAAAAAATTGTTATTTCATGTTTATTCATTTAATTATTGTAGTAACTGTTAATTCATTTAATTATTGATACTGTAACTGTTGTTATGTCAAAATTATAATAAATATTGTAAAGACTTATTATTATATTTGTTTAAATCAAAATTAATTTATTAACTAAAGTTTTACATAAACAATTTTTAAAGATTAATGTTAAATTTACCTGCAAATTGGAAAATTCTTTGTATTGAGTTTACATGTAGCACCATTCTGACAGTAATTAGGTGGACATTCTAGGGGAAAAAAAATTAACTTAGATTTTATGACAGTAAATACTCACAAGTATAATTATATAAAAAATATTTTATGGAAAAGTCAGTTAATTTTCACAAATAATTTTATGTTAATTGCATTCACAAATTACCAAAAAAATTATCTATTCTAGGAAAAATTGATTGCAGCAAATTTATTTAATGAAACAAAAACTGATAATCAGCAGTAGCAATATTAGGTGATATTACTTCTATTAAATGCCATATACATTTATATATGGAGGCCTAAAGTAGTTTCCATTTATTAATGAAAACTCAGAGAACATGGAACATTTCTAAAAGAAGTCTCCATATGCATTGAGGCACTTATCCCAGAGTGTCACTAAATGAATTATTCTTTGGTTGGCTTTGGAATCATTCTTGAACAGTTCCCACAACTTTTGCATCTGATTGAAACCTTTAGAGAGCAATGGTTGGTCGTGGTCATATAATTAGGTGGTTTGTTTTTTGACCATAAAGAACTTTTGCTGTCAAACTTCAGTCGTCATAACCTTGCCAGCAGACACAGTAGTTTTAAACTTCTTTATGTGAAGTGACATTGGACGGTGCCATTGTCATTGGTCATAATGGAGATACTAGCTTTCATCTCCTGTAATGATCTGTAATAAGAAACTGTTACCTTCTCTTTTGTGTTCCAAATGCATCAGTCATAACATTTTTGAAATTTCTGCTGTATGTTAAGATAATTAGTGATTCACATGAAGCACATTTTGTCCTAGTCTAAACCCTATATAATCAAGCAGATGCTCCCAATGGAAATGCAAACCTCTTTTGACGTTATCTTGGTACATACATAGATCCACTTTCACAATTTGTTTGTGTCATCGACACGAATGGTTTACTATTTTGTGATACCGATAGATCTTTTTCACTGATATATTGCCAGACGAATGGCTCAGAAGGTGATGTAATGCTTCACTGTAAGCAATGGGGTGCCACGAATGGAAACTTTTAGAAGCCTGCATATACTAAGGCAAATGTGCAGTTATGTCAATTTTCTTATTTAAGGCTTTATAAGTCAAGAGCTGTAAAAGAAAAGGTAAATGTTATCAGAAGAATATTACATTGAAAAGAAATTAAAGTTTGAGGACAGTTCAATTGCTGGCAATGGATTTGACTAGTTACTATTTGTATGTGTGAATTATTTGTATTTATATAAAACAAAATATTAAATGCAAAAGGTAGGTTATTATTTGGGAAATTATTGTGACAGAAACTGGGACAGGGAATTGTTGGGATGAAATCTTTGCAACCAGGTTAGTAGTGAATTTAAATGGTTTGTGCAGTTCTCCTCAATTTCAAGGAAAGGTTGCTTTTAATTTTCAGATTAGATTGATAGAATAAGGCATTGCAACATCTGGGAGATGTTAGACACGGAAGGCACCCCTCCCTTGGTACGTCTAAATAGGGGAGTTCCCTATTTAGATGTAGACATCTAAATAGAAGTTCAAGCTTGCCAGTCCATTAGACATACACAAACTGAAAATCAAAAGTCAGTGATTTTAATGGAAGATAATTATTTAACTTCAAAAAATGTCCTCCAAGCATATGAAATAGAACAGCTATCAACAGTAGAGATATATTACCTTTAGTAATAGCATAATTTTACTTATTTTATTTTATATTTTTGTGATTTTATCCGTGCACTTTATTTTTTTTTTGTTCAGTGTCAATAGTTAGATAATGCCTGGGAAGTGATCATTAATTCAGGGGTGGCAAACCTGTGGCACGTTGGAGAAACCATCTGACACGTAAAGTATTATATGATTTCAGTTTATCATCTGTCTTTTTCAATCAGCTTCTTTACATTTATTCTAATTACAGTATATTATTTTATTTACTTAAATATAGTTTAAACAAAAGAAAAAAACTTCTTCTGTGGGCACTATGGGGCAGCCAGGTGGTGAGGAACGGGGCCCAACGTATCTGGACAGATCATCACCTGAAAATTTACTGGGGCTATTTTAACCCATCCAGATTTGATCTTGGATCCCCCAGAATCCTTGATAATGTAAGTCTTGACTGGATTTAGACCTATTCTTTTATGGTAGTAAGATAATATCTTACAATATAATGGTTATATTAAGTACTTTATGGTTATATTTTAATTAAAAGTGGCAGGTAAATTGTTTTAGTATTTATAAGAGAATTGCAAATTAAAACCACAAAACTTAAGTGACTAGTTCATTCATTTAACTTAACTGATGAAGATATTACCAGAATCAATAATAAAAACTATTTTAATAAAATTTGATTTTATATCGATAATTAGATCTTTGTTAAAATTTAATAAATAATTTGAGTAAATACAATAGTTCCTTTTCACGAACGTTTTAGATTTATTTATATTATAAAAAGGAAAAAAAACTTGAAAAATGTACCTGTAAGATCACACATACTCTCGTCGGAACCGTCAGAACATTGTTTAGTTCCATCACAAATCAGTTCTTCTCGTATACAGTGAAGGTCATGACAAAAATAATTGCTTTGATTACACTGTACTTTTGCTGTTAAATATATATTCAATGTATCATTTTATTTTATAACTTGATAATATAACTATTTCTGACTCAAAATTGAAACATACAACAAAATCCTTTTTCATCCGAACCATCATTACAATCTTCATATTCATCACAGAGATAGATTCTCGGAATACAAGTTTTGTCTCCACATTCAAATTCATTTTTCTTGCAATTCACAGTTGGACGAAATGTTGTATGTGTGACAGGTGTAGTAGGACTTGATTCTGTTGTTGTTGTTGTTTTTCCGGTTGGACGAACAGCTATAAGAAGATAAAAAAAATGTCATTAATGAGCTATTTTGTTTATACTGTTAAGCTTTGATATATCAATGCTTAATTAACAATTGATTCAAATCTGCTGCATAATTGATAGTGCATATAACAGTAATGATCATAGCAGTTTAAACTATTTAGAGGATTTTTACAAGCTGCAACAGAATTGATACTATACACTTTTAATTCTGTTACATATAAAGTGATTACAACATGGAAAATAACTAGAACAAAACAGGCTACTGATGTGGCTGTAAGAAGATATTTAATGATCAAGGCCACTAAATTATTAATTATTATAATGCGACCCAAACTAAACTTAACTAGAATATAATTAAAATCTTGTGTTTTAGTTTTTGTAATTTTATTTAATTTTCAATAGAAGTGTCAATATAATAAGTTTTAAACTATAAAAAATGTTTGGAATAAATCAACAATTCTCATATCACTTTGCTGCCCCTTGGAAAAGTTGCTGTGGAAGCTTTTTTTTTTTTATACTTTTACATTTAGCATAATGTTATTAGGCTAACTAAAAAAAAAATTGTTAAATTAAAAAGTTAAACCTGTGATTATTATAACCGTTATTAGCCCGATAGCATACGGCAGTGGTTGACTTTGGTATTACTATGCATCGAGTATAGTAGAGTTGTTTGTTTATATTTATGCTTGGCTGGAGTATATGATGGCCAGTTGAGTGCTTTATGTGGGAGTTTACAGGACGAGGACACTTGATGCATCCCCAGCTGGCACTGTAGTAACCAACATTGGTTATAGCTAATGTTTTATATACTGGAAGACTAGATCAGACTGGAGGTCCGGGTAACATAATTTGCAATGCATCTGCACGGTAAGCAGGAGTTGTGGGTTTGAGTCCTGTTCCGGGCCGAATCTTTTCTTCCAATATCTAAATTATTTAAATTTATTAAGAGATGGCGCCTAACTCCTCCCTCTAGTGTCAAATTATTTGGTAATTTATTAATATTATAGCCCAAAAGTATATGGCAGTGGCGATTAGTCTATTATTTTCAGAATTATTTAAACCTAAATTCAGGAAAGATTAAGGGTAATCTTTATTATATATTCCATTATCAAAATTAATTCAAATCCCAAATCTTTGGCTAAAATTATAGAAGCCACAATTTAGTCATGAAATAAGCACTGCTAAATGTGACTTGTAAAGGAATTTTGAAAGCTCCCTAAAATTATTATTATTAACGATAATGTATTGAAGAAATCAAAAATGTAATGATGCTAAGCAATGCTCTATTTAAACAGTACAGACTAATCTTTCTAATAAAATGGCTCAAATTCCAGGTCATTTGTTTAAAGCAAATCATAATTTTTTTCATTTGCATGTAAAAGACCTTGCACTAAATATTTATGCTTTTATTTATTTATTAAATTTAATAAGAGATGGCACCTAATGCTTACCTCTAGTACCAAATTAGTTAATAGTTAATGATTAATAATAGCACTTAACACGATGATTGTTTGATTTAGTATTAATACAAATTTTTTGTTTTTTTTTGTAAAAATAGAATTTTAATTGCTTCTATTAAAAAAATCCTGTACATATAAACAAAAGCCAAAGGCAGGCAAAATATGCAGAAAAATTTGATAAAATCTGCAGACTATTTATCCAATAACACAAAAATTCCAAAGGAAACATAAAACCCTTCCATTTCATGTGGATTTCATATAATAATAGATCATTGTCTATCTGTTTTCTAATGTAGTCGATGCATGGAACTCTTGCATGCTCTTTAGCTGTTATATGAACAACCAAATGGCTTTTTCAACACATTCTTTTTGCATATTGAGTAGCAATTACTACAGCAAGTTTTATGGCAGCAGCATGAGACCAAGTGTACACATAAAATTAAGAGTGAAACTTGTTCTGATGTTTTCTTGCTTTAGGTCTTAGTAAAACTTGAAATTCCATAGTTCTACAGATTTACAAATATTAATTAAAATATATATTATTTCAGAACCAATGTAAACACCATCTGTGGGGGAAAAAAGTGCACTGCATAGTTTAGCTGTTACTTGCCTCTGTTACTTGTCTTTATTTTCAATAGATATAGGCTATTATAATAAAATATTTTTCCTTCATTCTTCAGACTCTATCATTGCATGAACTCTAAACCAAAACTAGAAGAATGCAATGACTTGTGAAGTTTTTTTTTTTTTAAATTCTCTTTAGATTATCTTTATATAATGTGATGTTTTCTACTGATATTCTCTTTTACTACCTACCAATGTTTGTCCATATTTTATACAAATCAATAACGGTTCTTTTGGGAAATTGTGACAAACTCCTCAATGTAGATAGTCCTATTAACCAGATGTAAACATTTAAATAGGTGATGTTCTGTATAGTACCTACTGGAAAATCTGATCAGATCCAGCTAGAATGCTTTTTTATGTGTACTCCACCAAAAATTGGTGCATCCATTTGGTGACTTTCCTATAAAATACAATGAAGTTGTTGATAAGATTAGTCATGATGACCTCATTTTACTCTTCCCTTTCTAGCACTGACCATTTATTAGTCCAGTCTATGTAATCTTTTGTGCAATCTTTATTCCTTTCTCATATAACTAGTTTTTTTCAAATCTCCATAGAGTAAACATACCCACTTAGGATAGTTTCAGAATCCAAATAGAATAACTTTAATCTTTAAACTGTTTTATTTAGCTTTAAATAATAAATTGCAGCAATGGTTATTTATCATTGTATAGTGTGTGATTCATATACTGTTAGCAACATGAGCATCTGTAGAAAATTTTCCAGGGGGGAACAAAGCTTGAAGAAAAATAATTTCAATACATTTTTATTTAATTATTTAATATTTTGGTTTTTTAAAACCATCAGCCATGGAACACTTTGATATGTAACCTTCCATCCTCGGCCATGGAACAATCTTGTTTATGATAATTTGTGGAATTTGCCCTCCCCTGGAATCGAATAAAAAAAAAAACTTGATCCCAGGGGAGGGCAAATGCCCTGTTTTCTCCCTCTGCAGATTCTCCTAGTTGGCACTGTTACATCTTGCATTACAAGCCAACAAGAATTGAATAGGAACGAATGTATTTCTTGAAATTTAGCATTTTGATGTATTGATTAATCTGTCTTAGAAAATTTCTATAAAAGTCGAGTGACAAAGATATTTTTCGTATGAAAAGGTTGTGGTTAAAAAAATTATAGAATTGTAAAAATGTATGTTTCAATTAATATAAATTTTTTGGAAAACGTTAAGAATTAAAAATGTGCAGTATTTGTTTTTTTTACTTACATTTCGTCGTACTTCCCATTGGAATAGTAGATGATGGTGACTCGGCTGAAAATATTTGTATATATTATAAAAAATTTTAAATGAAATTTAGTATAACTTATTTTAATANCTTAATAATGTTGTACAATCAATATCTATTAAATAAAATATAATTATATTATTATTTATAAATAATAATAATCATACTAAATAAATAGCAATTTATTATCAAGAATATATTTAATAATGACATATATTTAAAACAAGCAATTATTTATGGTGAAATTGTTTTTAAAAAATGTCTAGGCCTGGCGGCACTAGTCGACCCTTGTTTCATCTTTTTTTTTGCTTACGTAACGTGAGACATTACGTCTCACATTATGACAATTTTTCCAAAGCCCAGAAATGGCCTGTTTTTTATAATTTATACAACTGTACTGTATACCCAGACTTTGTTCCTTACTGCTTGTTTGGATCAAAGAAGCCCTATATGGTCACAGATTTGATAGTGATGAAAATGCAAAAGTGGTGGCATATGATTGGTTATAAACCCAGTTGAAAAATATTTTCTCTGATTAAATTCATAAATTTCTGGACTGCTACAATAAGTATGTAACAAGTAATGGAAAACTAGGTCAAAATAAATTGTTTAATTTGCAACAACATGTATTTTATATGAATGATAATAAAATTGCCTTTACTTTTTGAATTACCCTCATAGTTTTGTTAAAAGCAATAAGAATTTTAGTAAGAAATGAATCCACTACGTTGGAAGCATTCATAAAGATTTGTTCTAAACAATTGTCAAAAGTTAATTAAGTTTATTAGTGAGAAAAAATTAACAGCAGGAGAAATTGATAAGTTCTTGATGTCAAATCAAAATTAATATTTATTATATAGTAGAAACTCTTATTACCGATCGGGATTAAAGGCTATGACGGATAATGGGATTCTCCTACCAGTACAGAAAAATTAATTTACAATCCACCACTGTTTATTTACTGTACAGTGCAGTATTTATATGTAATACAATATTAACATACAGTACAGTATGTACTTCATTATGGTAAGGACATAAAAGAAACAAATGCAATAACTTTACACCCCAAAAACTGAATTTAGCATTCTGACAGTTAAACGAATAATGGATAATTGAGTTTTTACTTTACTTAAAATTCTGTTATAACAATTTTTTAAATATGATACATTTTTTGTATTCATTTCAGAATCTGCAGTTTTTCCTTGAAACACAATTAATGATTAAATCATTCAGTTTCATTGATTAATAAATTAATATTATAAAATGGAGAGATACTGTTCTCAGTGACAACCATTTATTTATGCTATTAATTATATTATGAAGTAATTTCCTCCAAACTTTTTGATAACAACTCTAGTAGTTTAACAGGTTGCAAACTTACATAGGCTATGTATTTAAATTTTGATTAACTGAAATGTATGTAGAATTAATATGATAAAATATTTTAAAATATTTAAATTTTTAATTTAAAAATTACACATACCACAATCTTGTTCATCACTTCCATCTTTACAATCTGAATAACAATCACAAAGCCATTCTGAGGATATACATTGGGGAATCTCTCTACATGTAAAATGTACTGCTTTGTCACAGAGAGATGGTACACCAGTTGGAATTATAGCTGTTCCTGTTCATTTAAAATTTAAAACATTGTTATATTGAGTAAATAGCAATTTTTTTCCCTTAAAAAATAAATAATAAATAATTCAGAATAATTATTATTAGACCTTTTAAATATTTATGAAAAGTGTTGTCTTTACATGTCTAATTGATTAGCTAGAGAATAAACATCTAAAAAGAATTATTTCTACATTGGCTTAAGGATATTTTTATGATTACAGCCATTAGAGTTAAATAAGATTTATTTACAACCAAGGATCAAGCAGTAGAATTAACAGTAATTGGTTAACTTCTAATACTAACTTTTGATCGTTGGTTATGAATACAGGTATTAAATATATATTTTCATATTAAGTAAGACATTGTTCTTTATAAATATATGCCTAAACATATGGATTTACATTTGTCAAATCATTAAATCTAGAGTTTAAACTTATAAAAATAATTCATTTTAATTCTCTCTCTCTCTAGATCCATCAGTAGAATTTGATATCACTTGTAACACAAGTGATATCAAATCCTACTGACCATATGCTAAAAAACTGTTTCAGTTGTTGATGAGTTTAAGTCATAAATTATTATTTTTGTATCATATGATTAGGATTTGGAAACAAACAATAATTTTACAATCGGTTTATTAACCAGTAGTTACTATAAACAAAGATTACAGACATGTCCTTTATAATATGTTTTTATCATACATTTGCTCAATTTTTCAGCAAGAACAATTATGGGAAAACAAAATTCTAAAATTAATCATATTTTGTAATAAAATTGAACTTAAAAAGTTTAGATTAATCAATTAATTTATCAATGCAATTGTAATTTGTTTCTTTTAAAAAGTAGAGAAGATTTTTGAGATTATAGTGATAAATTTGTAAATCAAAAGTTTTGATAAAAAAAATTCTTAGTATCTATCTAAAATTCCATTATTTTTGGGATCTTTATGTATAGACTAGATAGCATAAGATTACATATGCAAAAGAGCAAAATTTCCTACCTTTTAGATCATTTATTTAATTAAAACCCAAAAGAATTGAATGTAATTTGATATTTGTTTAGAAAATTCAGTTATTTAACTCTTAATATACAATTTTATCACTTTATGGTTCAGGCTAATTTTTTTTTGTCAAGCAAACTTTATGGATTCTGTCAACTAGTATTTTGAACGCTTCATTTTTAAATAGATCTATAAATTAGCTGCAGTTTATTTTGAAGTTAAATAACTTATTATAGTCTTGGGTGTATAAACATTAAATCCATATACTTAAAAATAAAGTAATGCCAAAAGATCTGCCATATTAACATACTATAATATCTACAGGTAACCCCCGTATAACACGGGAGTTACGTTCCAAAAAATTGCCATGTTATACAAAACAAAGAACTAGTGTGAAAAGGGGGGTTAGGTTCCAAAAATTAAAAAACATGTTGTTAAATCCTTATGTAAATCGGATTTATTATTCATTTTTTCCATAAGTAAAAAAAAATATTATTTAAGTAAATATTTTACAAGTATACTATTTTACAAGAGGATTATTCATCCTATATGATGATTTCAGCATGAGCATCATCAACTGGTAACAGTTTTTGGGTGCGTTCGTTAATAGCGGTCACTCTGCAATGGAGTGCGCTGCTGTTTGTAGGCATTTAGGAACGACAATGAAAGAAAGATGGTGGGGCTCGCACTATCGATGGTATCACGATGGAGGAATCTATAATTCTAAAATGAGCTTTTAGAGGCAAAAGAAGGGTCCCAATTGTAAAATTTAACCATTAAATGGATTATTTGTTGAAAGAGCATTCAAAGTAGCCACGAAAACAATTAGAATGCTTGCGTGGAGTTACGCTGAGATATAAAAGAACGCACCCTTTATTACATTTCATGTTGTACGAGGTTTTACCCAATTCCCAAACCGTGTTAGAGTGAACCTGTGTTATACGGGAATGTTCCCGTGCTATAGAAGTGCCGTGTTACGCGGGGGTTACCTGTAATTACAGTAGCGCGTCAGTTAAGCAAAAGCATTTCAGCTGGAGGTTTTTGATACTAGATTAACTTCTAAAGTATAATTGTTTTTGTTTTTATATTTTTCAATATATTTATTTTACTTGTACAAAATAAAGAAATAATTTTTCATGATACAGTAGCCACGATTATTAATATAAAAATTTTCAGTAAGCTTAATATCGATGAAAATTCAATGCGAAGAGACACACAACAGGGAAAAATTTAAACATGGGATATATTAATATACTATTATTGGGATATACTAATATACTATATTAATAATGTATTTTTTTGGTACATAATTGGTTAACTGAAAAATCAATTTTCCGAACAACCCCAGTCTCCAATTGATTCAGATAATTGACGCTCTACTGCATTAAATTAGTCTTATTATAGCCTGATAATATGACGGATTGTTTGGCATTATGGTCTCAGTTTAGCAATTTGATGTAAGCCATATCTCCTAAAATGATAGCAGAAGCATCTAGTAATCAAATAAGATTTACATCATCATATATACATAGGGAAGACAACTGATTAATTAAAATTTCAATTTATTTGTAGTACATTTAGTTAATTTTATTTTGAATTAGCATTTCAAAAGTCTGTTTACGTGGTAAATATTCAGATAGATTAAATAATTCATTCAAGTTGTATGTTTATAAAGGGAAAAAATACAAAATCATCTAAACTTTTAGATTGTAGAGATTAACTTTTTCAGTTGAAAAACTTAAAGCAATAAATAAAATAAAAAAGCTTTGTTTTGGAAGCTTTGGATTAGAAGTTGTCATAAATTAAAATTTAAATTCTTTCAGATGTTTACTGACAACCCTAAAAGTGGATTGTTTTTTAAAATTCATTGTATTCACCAGTTTTCATTTTTTTTTTTTTTTTACTACTCTCTCTGTTGCTTGGGTTTTTATATAAAAATACATAGAACTTATTTCCTAATTTGATCTGAAAAAAATTACTACTAAAGCAGCCCAGTTTGCTGTGAATTATTAATAAACTCTCAGTTTTGAGAGAAGATATATATGTAATATTATGATAAAAATTCCATGCTCTTTTAAATGTACCTTTTGCATTTTCATACAAAATTTTGTGTTGCAGACTTTTTCATGCTATTCCTAATAATTTATATTAATTCTTTTTAATATGTGAAAAAATATAACTAAAAAGAAGGTAATTGTAAACATGAAACTAAAGCTGTAACAAGATGTTTAAAAATATTTAACAAATTTTCTATGCAAATAAAAAAAAATTGCTTAGAAATCTGTCTTGTATCGTGATGTAAATATGCATCACTGGCATATTGGAAAACAAAATGCGTGATTAGCAATAGGAAATGTATTAAATTAGTTTACTTACCCCCTTCTTGACATTCTTCTGTGAAAGAAACATCATCAATTGCAATATCTGTATACTCATCTCCTCCAACAAAACCTTCAAATACAATTTTATAGTCTTGAACACTGTTAATCTTGGCATGAGCATATTTCCATTGTTTTTCAATAGGACCGCTGATTGTATTGACTGGAATAATTTGTCCCTTATTTCCATAAATCGACACCTTGAATTAATAATAATAATAAAAAAATTTACTTGAAATGATTAAAATGTTAATTACTATAATTTCAATAGTTTAGAAATATATTAAGATGTAAAATAATCCAAACTGCTAAACAACATCAATATTAAAGTTCTAACAATTATAATTTATCCAGTTAATTTGAGAACAGAAGTTAGAGCCCATATTATAAATTAACTGTAAAGGTATCCCTTGTACAACATGGTTTCGCTCTAACAGTTGGAAAATTGGGGATATCCCCTGTACAAATGGGTTTGGAAATTTCACAATTTTTAAGTTCAAACTCTGTCGTTCAATATTTTTTTATTTAAATAAGCATACGTGTTGCGTCAAATTTGCCCACGGATTTTACAATATTGAAATTTCCAATTTATTTGGTGCCTTTCATCAGGTTTACTTTAATGAAAACTGACAGGAAAGCTAGGACAAGGAAGAAGAAAATTTGCTCTATCAACCAGGTATTATCATTGCTTTCAGACTTCAGCCTTTAAGGCTGTCATTGTGTTTTGTTTTTATAGATTAATTATTCGTAAAAATGACGAACAAAATACACTGGTACTCGAACTGTTCCTAACTCAAACAATTCAGTATTCAAACATAAATTATGGAAAAAATCACTGGTACTTAACTAAACAAACAAGGGCCCCCTAGAACAAATTTTCGATTAATAACATATATTTTTTTATGATAAAAATTAAAACATTGCTGATAATCTCAATTAAGGTCAACCAAAAAGCTCAGATGATGATGATGATACTTTGTAAAAAGAAAGAGCCCTCGTTTAACTGAAATTAATATTAACGTGTAATATAGAACTTTTAATTGTGATTGTTAGTTAATAATTTATTTCTGATCAATAATTGTTTGTTTTAATAAATATATTTCTCTTAATGATGGAAAAGAATAGTATACTTTTGGAACCTAACCCCATGTTTTGAATAGCCTGGATTTGCATAACATGGTACTTTTTTAGAATATAACTACCTTGTTATATGAGGAACATTGTATCTTCAAAAATTTTGAAGCCAAGAACAATTAAAAGCAATAATTTAAGACATAGCATGTATTATAGCTAACAAAAATGTTAAGCGCCAAGTAGGAATCATTGGAACTTTAGTGCAAATGCAATGATGATAATAATAAGTAGACGTTTCTTCGCTATGATATTGTAGCTTTCTGTGGACAACAGTATGATTTAAAGCAACCTTTAGGACTTTCTCTTGCCTGGATACATGCAGTAATATGGTTGAGTATAAAGCACCAAATGCTATTCTGTGACAGATTTTGCCCACGGATGTAGCAACCGTCTTTCCTGATTCCTCACACTTCTGATTGGCCAAAGCTGGTGTCCTATCAAGGACAACAAACCTGGAGATTACTACACTTACTTTCATTCCCAATGTGGTAGAGATATTCCCGAGAAGCATTGCAGCTAAGCATTGTCTTGCTGGAAAATGACCATTTACAACCCTATGTTGTAATAAAAATGTTGAAATTTTGTATGGAGAATTTCCAAAATTGTGTTAGAGTAAAAGTGGAAGTTGTGTTGTACAGGGTATATTCCCAATTTTCAAACCACGTTAGAGAAAAACCATGTTGTATCAGGGATACCTGTACAAGATTCGTTTTTATTTAATTCTAAAATGTTTTTATTTTTAGTTAAAAATGTATACTTTAAATGCAATAAACATTTGAAAGTGATATTAATTTTTTCTGAACTGAAAATATTACTAAATTAACTTGTTGATTCATTATTCTATTTTATTAATTGCAAAACTTACTGTTAGTTTTCCCATTGATTTAGAGCCATACATAAAATACCAATATCTTAAGTGACATTTTTCTCTACTTGCAGGTAAACTTTGTGTTGACACAGCTGCAGAATCTCCTATAGAATGATTACCACTGTCTATATATAAATAGTAACCTATAAAAAATTATAAAAACTGTATTAATGATTATTAATAATGTAAATAGTTTGAATTATATATGTCATTATGAACTAGACAAACAAGCAGACTAAACACATCTTTTAATGGCTCTCTTATACGTATTATATGTAAAAAAAAGTATTTTTTTTTATAACAATCCACAAAATCTTTTTATAAGTGTTGTCTCCGTAACAAACTTCACGAACATTTTCGACATCAAGGACAGTGGAGGTCGAAAATGTTCGTGAAGTTTGTTACGGAGACAACACTGTTATAAAAAGATTTTGTGGATTGTTATTACTCAATGCAGTGTTAAGATTAGAAATCGTTTTTGTCTTTTTTTATCTATATAAAAAATTTGTTTGTTACAAAAGCATCTAATGCATTCAGATTCCACAATTCGAATATGCTATTCAGTGACAACATTTGAATTAAAAACTGACAATACATAATTTGTCCAAGTTCTGATGCGACTAAGTTTTTAAAATTTTTTGTTCATATGCTTCCTGTTGATTAATACAATATTTACAAAGATGATGATGATGATGATGATGATAATATCATCTAGTAAAATTTCAGTTGTGTCCGTCGAATTCATTAAAAACAACAGCAATTCTTTGATATTGGTCAAAAAATGACACTTGAACAAAGAGCAAGTATCAAATTCTACTAGTGTTTTCTGGTGGTATGTTCAATTTTGAAATGGCAGCACGAGCAATGAAGACAGTGAAAGAGCATCATGTCCACACACAAGCTGTGTGATCAGTCAAAGGAGAAAGTGTGAGAAATATTTAAATCTGACTTCTATAACTTTCATACTCATCAAAGACATCATAGGGCTTCCAAAATCTTCTGTCTATACCATTGTGACAAAAGATTTGCTCAAGAGAGTCTGCACACTGATGATCAAATGGTGCACAGAAGGAATTGATAAATATTGAATAAATAAAACAAAACAATTCCTTAATGAAGGTTCCTTCATCAAGGAATTGTTTTAACTATTGAAGCATTTTTGGGAAGAATTTCTTCCCATTAACCTCTCGGTATTCTAAAATACAAAATTTTTTTAATATTCTTTTTGAATTAACATTATGCTTCTTGTCCCACTATTATTAATTAATTATCTGAGCACTATAATTAACTCTTGTTAGGACTAATCACACTATTGAGAACTTACTCAGAGATTGATGAATATTAAATATTTATTTGTAACCATGGTATGCATATAGATTAAATGACAGAAAATTTAAAATTTCTTAACATTACAGGTAACCAAATGGTTAAGCTTCAAGGTGGGTGAACAAAACCGTGCCCCACATGCACACGCATAGCAAAACCCAAAACTTTTTGTATGTTTCAAAGTCCCGAGTGCAAAAATGTAAAACTGTTAGTCATTTTTTGACCATGCTTTTATATATAACGTCTGGGGAAAGTGAAAATTAATTATTCCATACTTTTTAAAAAAATAGCATTTTTTAATTATTTCTCTGTGTAATAAAACTTCAATCATCTAAAATTACTTATAGATAATTTTTAATAATGCCTAATAAATGAATCAAAATAAATAGGCATAAGCAATGCCTTTCATATTCCTTATAACAAGTAATAAGTTATTTCATTAATGAATTTTTATAACAAGATAGTACAAGTAAATACAGTGGTACCTTGACTTAAAAGTTTAATTCACTCCATGATACTTGTAATTCAAATCAATTTTCCCTATTGAAATGAATTAAAATGACATTCATACGTTCCGGATCCCAAAACACTGCAATTTTTTTGTTACATGTTTTTAAATAAGAAAAATGTATGTATAAATAATGAATATTGTATAAAAACACAATAGAATGTACTGTAATAAACTGGTTTTGTGGATGTTGAGGCATTCACTGCATAGATAAAGAAAGAAAAGATGGAAATTTGAGAAATGAGAGATGGTGGCACTGCACACAACATGGAAGTGAACTAATGCCCACGTCACTCGATCATGTGATTTTCTATAAGCCAGCCTGTCAGACATTGGAAGAGTAACGAAAATGACAAAATTACGGCAGTTTTCCATCTTCTTTTTCTTAATCTATGGTTTGCTGTGGTGTTTGCAGCACCGACTAGCGGTGGAGTATCTGAAGCTGGTTCGTAACCTAAATTTTAGCTCTCAACTCAAAGCAAAAAATTGGCCGAGAGATGGCTTGTATCTGAAAAACTCGTAAGTTGGGATACTCGTAAGTCAAGTTACCACTGTACCATTATTATAACAACAATGCTTTTTTATAGTGAGAAAATCATTACAGAAGACCTCATCTGAGTATTCTACATTCATCATAATACTGTGATGTGTTATAGGTAGTGTAAAATTCTTGACACTATTTTATTCTTTTTTCCCTTTTTTTATGGTAAAAGCATAATACCAGAAGACAAATCTTTAATCTTTATTTTTTAACATATTCATTTTCATCTATTCTTTTAAGAAAAGTCCTCTTCAGTCTACAAAGGAAATGAATTACAAACAAAAATAAAATTTTGTTTTTTGACTTAACAGTAAAAATGTTATAATATCACAAAACACTTCAAAAAAGATTTTTACATTTTTGAACTTGGGACTTTGAAATGCAAAAAGAACTTTGGGAGTTTTTCTGTACGATTGGATGTTAGTGTATGTGTGTGGGGGCACAATATGACAATTATTATTTTTACAACATACACAAATTGCCGACTGTCTGTAATCTAACCTAATTACAGCTTTATGTTCTTTAATACAGCTTTCCAATGAGTAGCTGTCTTACTAATATTGTAGTTTTTAATATCATACATATATCCAAATTTATGTACCACACAATCATTTGAAATTTGTGATATGATGATCTATAATAAGTAATTATAGATTACTGGTTTATCCTATCTAGAACACATCGGATTCAAGAAATCTTCCATTTTACTTTGTGGATTATAATACTGATTCATTGAAACTAAGCTATTGAAAAATTATTAAATGCAAAAATTGCTAATCAAAATTTCTGGAGTAAAGAAGAGAATGGATATAAAATGGAAGAAAAATAAAGCAAAATGTGATCAGTATATATATATATAAAAATGGACATGTATGTCCCTATATTTCACTTTTCTGCCAAAACTACACATCGCACGTGAATGGTGTTTGTATGTGGTGGTAGCGTCTCGATAGCTATAAGGGTGTGGGAGATATGAGGCTGAAAGTGGTTGAAAGTGGCTTTCTATTTCGAATGTTTTGTTTGAATTTGTTCAAATTAAATTCGAACATAAAATTCGAATATTGGTTCGATTATAGAATGATTGTAAACGTTCCAGAAACGTTGAAAATAGTTCGTTTGACTAAACGTAAAAATTCTCTAATTAGTCTGGAAACGGGGGACCTAATTCTTGCATTCTATGAAAACGGGTAAGATTAGCTATAATGTAATTATCTTAAACTTCACTATCGTTACTTTTTGCCCAGCGAAGCGGGTCCTTGCAGCTAGTATATTATAAAAAATGAAATCATAAATATGACAACAAATACCTTTAACATTTATACTATGATCATAAGGAGGGCCTGTCTTTTTACTCGGTGATTCACTTGCACGAGACCATTTAAAACTCTTTTCTGGCCAGTGTTCCCATTTACAACTTTCAATCCAATTCTCATCATTAAAATCACAGTCACCTTTTTGTTTATCTAAATTAATAATAAAATATCTTTTATAATTATATATATATCAAAATATAATGAAACAAAGTAAAACTTACTGCAATTATTCAGTTCATCTGTTTTATCTTTACAATCAAAAGATTTATCGCAGCGCTGCCATTTTTTAATACACTGTGGTATTTTCTTACACATCCATTCATCAAAACTACATTCCACTGGTACATAATCTAAAAAAATTTTATATGATTTTTAATATTTAAATGATATATAACAATTACAAATATGAAAAATGCATTCTGAAAAAAAAAAAGAAAATGAATAATAATGTAAGAGACGTCAATTATCCGAAAATCAATTATCTGAAAAATTGATTAACCAACTTCACTGAACATGAATTCCAGAAATTCTGAAGTTTTTACATAATAATGATTGCTAGCAGTCTTCTGTATGCTCACTATTGAGCTATCTTTATCAATACTAATGTTAAGTTTTATTTATTATAGTACAAATAGAAAAGCACGAAAATTAATTAGTCACAGGTTTCTAATGTATCAAATTCTTCACTGTATCTACATAAACAGAAGCATTTGATGCATTAGAAACAGTACCAACAATGCTTAGAAATGCAATCCAAAGCAATTATTTATTATTTTAATTATGACTGCAATTTGTAATAATAATAATAATATATAGAAAACAAACCAAGAATAACAGTCAGTCATGAAAATGACTAACTAAACTATTTCATTTTAGTTTAAAAAGGTGGAGGTCCAGGTAGCATAACTAGCAATGCATCTTCACAGTACAAGTCAACCCCCCTATAACACTGTTGATTATTCCGTTTTATATGAATTCCATGTTGTACGAGTCACTTAGATTTTACAAATACGTGAGCCGTTCACAGCCTGGCACACGTATTTGTAAAATCTAAGTGACTCGTACAACATGAAATTCATATAAAACGGAATAATCAACAGTGTATAGGGGGGTTGACTGTAAGCAGGAGTTGTGGGTTTGAGTTCTGCTCTGGGCTGATCTTTTTCTTCCAGATTCTTCTAAATTAAAAATTTATTTATTTCTAATTTTTAAATTTATCACGAAATGGCAGTTTGACTGCCTATCTTTAGTCAAATTACTTTAATCTTAATATAATCCAACAGACAGATTATACAGGTTAATTAATATAATAATAATCTGCCGCCTATCTTATCAAATTATTAATTTTTGATGCAAACTTTGTTGAAAGAGAAAAATTATGAAATATGAAAATAATATTAAAATAGAAATGAATTTAATTCATTCTATGTAATTTATTAATAACTGTAAGATTGTAAGATAGTATAAATACCTTGACTGCAACTTTTAAATTCAATATCGTCAATTGATACAAAATTTTTGCTTGCAGTACCACGATTTGCTTCTATAATAACACTGAAATCATCTTGTTTATTGATTTCTGCAACTCCTTCGTGCCATCTACTTCCTTGACTACCAGAACGATCCCAAATACTTAAAATCTAGTAAAATAAATTACAATAATATTTTAATAAAATTTATTTAATGTTAGATTATATTTCTGTAATTTAAATACTTTTGTTTTTACTTAGAATTTAAAATAGAAATAATCAAACACCAAATGGGAAGTAATTCCAACTGAATTTTAAAGGAAAAATATAAATTATATATATATATGATTATTAATGTACTAATCTTAATCTTTGTTAGTAACCTTCACTCATCAATGATTTTCTTGACAATGAAGATATTTGTCATATGGAATTGAAAACAAGCATTCCTAACCTAAATCTTATAGAAAATGTGTGGGATAATCTTGTTCAAGAATGAACTTTCCTTCCAATGGAGCTCATAAACAACACTATAATCTGCACNATGTTTACTGACAACCCTAAAAGTGGATTGTTTTTTAAAATTCATTGTATTCACCAGTTTTCATTTTTTTTTTTTTTTTTACTACTCTCTCTGTTGCTTGGGTTTTTATATAAAAATACATAGAACTTATTTCCTAATTTGATCTGAAAAAAATTACTACTAAAGCAGCCCAGTTTGCTGTGAATTATTAATAAACTCTCAGTTTTGAGAGAAGATATATATGTAATATTATGATAAAAATTCCATGCTCTTTTAAATGTACCTTTTGCATTTTCATACAAAATTTTGTGTTGCAGACTTTTTCATGCTATTCCTAATAATTTATATTAATTCTTTTTAATATGTGAAAAAATATAACTAAAAAGAAGGTAATTGTAAACATGAAACTAAAGCTGTAACAAGATGTTTAAAAATATTTAACAAATTTTCTATGCAAATAAAAAAAAATTGCTTAGAAATCTGTCTTGTATCGTGATGTAAATATGCATCACTGGCATATTGGAAAACAAAATGCGTGATTAGCAATAGGAAATGTATTAAATTAGTTTACTTACCCCCTTCTTGACATTCTTCTGTGAAAGAAACATCATCAATTGCAATATCTGTATACTCATCTCCTCCAACAAAACCTTCAAATACAATTTTATAGTCTTGAACACTGTTAATCTTGGCATGAGCATATTTCCATTGTTTTTCAATAGGACCGCTGATTGTATTGACTGGAATAATTTGTCCCTTATTTCCATAAATCGACACCTTGAATTAATAATAATAATAAAAAAATTTACTTGAAATGATTAAAATGTTAATTACTATAATTTCAATAGTTTAGAAATATATTAAGATGTAAAATAATCCAAACTGCTAAACAACATCAATATTAAAGTTCTAACAATTATAATTTATCCAGTTAATTTGAGAACAGAAGTTAGAGCCCATATTATAAATTAACTGTAAAGGTATCCCTTGTACAACATGGTTTCGCTCTAACAGTTGGAAAATTGGGGATATCCCCTGTACAAATGGGTTTGGAAATTTCACAATTTTTAAGTTCAAACTCTGTCGTTCAATATTTTTTTATTTAAATAAGCATACGTGTTGCGTCAAATTTGCCCACGGATTTTACAATATTGAAATTTCCAATTTATTTGGTGCCTTTCATCAGGTTTACTTTAATGAAAACTGACAGGAAAGCTAGGACAAGGAAGAAGAAAATTTGCTCTATCAACCAGGTATTATCATTGCTTTCAGACTTCAGCCTTTAAGGCTGTCATTGTGTTTTGTTTTTATAGATTAATTATTCGTAAAAATGACGAACAAAATACACTGGTACTCGAACTGTTCCTAACTCAAACAATTCAGTATTCAAACATAAATTATGGAAAAAATCACTGGTACTTAACTAAACAAACAAGGGCCCCCTAGAACAAATTTTCGATTAATAACATATATTTTTTTATGATAAAAATTAAAACATTGCTGATAATCTCAATTAAGGTCAACCAAAAAGCTCAGATGATGATGATGATACTTTGTAAAAAGAAAGAGCCCTCGTTTAACTGAAATTAATATTAACGTGTAATATAGAACTTTTAATTGTGATTGTTAGTTAATAATTTATTTCTGATCAATAATTGTTTGTTTTAATAAATATATTTCTCTTAATGATGGAAAAGAATAGTATACTTTTGGAACCTAACCCCATGTTTTGAATAGCCTGGATTTGCATAACATGGTACTTTTTTAGAATATAACTACCTTGTTATATGAGGAACATTGTATCTTCAAAAATTTTGAAGCCAAGAACAATTAAAAGCAATAATTTAAGACATAGCATGTATTATAGCTAACAAAAATGTTAAGCGCCAAGTAGGAATCATTGGAACTTTAGTGCAAATGCAATGATGATAATAATAAGTAGACGTTTCTTCGCTATGATATTGTAGCTTTCTGTGGACAACAGTATGATTTAAAGCAACCTTTAGGACTTTCTCTTGCCTGGATACATGCAGTAATATGGTTGAGTATAAAGCACCAAATGCTATTCTGTGACAGATTTTGCCCACGGATGTAGCAACCGTCTTTCCTGATTCCTCACACTTCTGATTGGCCAAAGCTGGTGTCCTATCAAGGACAACAAACCTGGAGATTACTACACTTACTTTCATTCCCAATGTGGTAGAGATATTCCCGAGAAGCATTGCAGCTAAGCATTGTCTTGCTGGAAAATGACCATTTACAACCCTATGTTGTAATAAAAATGTTGAAATTTTGTATGGAGAATTTCCAAAATTGTGTTAGAGTAAAAGTGGAAGTTGTGTTGTACAGGGTATATTCCCAATTTTCAAACCACGTTAGAGAAAAACCATGTTGTATCAGGGATACCTGTACAAGATTCGTTTTTATTTAATTCTAAAATGTTTTTATTTTTAGTTAAAAATGTATACTTTAAATGCAATAAACATTTGAAAGTGATATTAATTTTTTCTGAACTGAAAATATTACTAAATTAACTTGTTGATTCATTATTCTATTTTATTAATTGCAAAACTTACTGTTAGTTTTCCCATTGATTTAGAGCCATACATAAAATACCAATATCTTAAGTGACATTTTTCTCTACTTGCAGGTAAACTTTGTGTTGACACAGCTGCAGAATCTCCTATAGAATGATTACCACTGTCTATATATAAATAGTAACCTATAAAAAATTATAAAAACTGTATTAATGATTATTAATAATGTAAATAGTTTGAATTATATATGTCATTATGAACTAGACAAACAAGCAGACTAAACACATCTTTTAATGGCTCTCTTATACGTATTATATGTAAAAAAAAGTATTTTTTTTTATAACAATCCACAAAATCTTTTTATAAGTGTTGTCTCCGTAACAAACTTCACGAACATTTTCGACATCAAGGACAGTGGAGGTCGAAAATGTTCGTGAAGTTTGTTACGGAGACAACACTGTTATAAAAAGATTTTGTGGATTGTTATTACTCAATGCAGTGTTAAGATTAGAAATCGTTTTTGTCTTTTTTTATCTATATAAAAAATTTGTTTGTTACAAAAGCATCTAATGCATTCAGATTCCACAATTCGAATATGCTATTCAGTGACAACATTTGAATTAAAAACTGACAATACATAATTTGTCCAAGTTCTGATGCGACTAAGTTTTTAAAATTTTTTGTTCATATGCTTCCTGTTGATTAATACAATATTTACAAAGATGATGATGATGATGATGATGATGATAATATCATCTAGTAAAATTTCAGTTGTGTCCGTCGAATTCATTAAAAACAACAGCAATTCTTTGATATTGGTCAAAAAATGACACTTGAACAAAGAGCAAGTATCAAATTCTACTAGTGTTTTCTGGTGGTATGTTCAATTTTGAAATGGCAGCACGAGCAATGAAGACAGTGAAAGAGCATCATGTCCACACACAAGCTGTGTGATCAGTCAAAGGAGAAAGTGTGAGAAATATTTAAATCTGACTTCTATAACTTTCATACTCATCAAAGACATCATAGGGCTTCCAAAATCTTCTGTCTATACCATTGTGACAAAAGATTTGCTCAAGAGAGTCTGCACACTGATGATCAAATGGTGCACAGAAGGAATTGATAAATATTGAATAAATAAAACAAAACAATTCCTTAATGAAGGTTCCTTCATCAAGGAATTGTTTTAACTATTGAAGCATTTTTGGGAAGAATTTCTTCCCATTAACCTCTCGGTATTCTAAAATACAAAATTTTTTTAATATTCTTTTTGAATTAACATTATGCTTCTTGTCCCACTATTATTAATTAATTATCTGAGCACTATAATTAACTCTTGTTAGGACTAATCACACTATTGAGAACTTACTCAGAGATTGATGAATATTAAATATTTATTTGTAACCATGGTATGCATATAGATTAAATGACAGAAAATTTAAAATTTCTTAACATTACAGGTAACCAAATGGTTAAGCTTCAAGGTGGGTGAACAAAACCGTGCCCCACATGCACACGCATAGCAAAACCCAAAACTTTTTGTATGTTTCAAAGTCCCGAGTGCAAAAATGTAAAACTGTTAGTCATTTTTTGACCATGCTTTTATATATAACGTCTGGGGAAAGTGAAAATTAATGATTCCATACTTTTTAAAAAAATAGCATTTTTTAATTATTTCTCTGTGTAATAAAACTTCAATCATCTAAAATTACTTATAGATAATTTTTAATAATGCCTAATAAATGAATCAAAATAAATAGGCATAAGCAATGCCTTTCATATTCCTTATAACAAGTAATAAGTTATTTCATTAATGAATTTTTATAACAAGATAGTACAAGTAAATACAGTGGTACCTTGACTTAAAAGTTTAATTCACTCCATGATACTTGTAATTCAAATCAATTTTCCCTATTGAAATGAATTAAAATGATATTCATACGTTCCGGATCCCAAAACACTGCAATTTTTTTGTTACATGTTTTTAAATAAGAAAAATGTATGTATAAATAATGAATATTGTATAAAAACACAATAGAATGTACTGTAATAAACTGGTTTTGTGGATGTTGAGGCATTCACTGCATAGATAAAGAAAGAAAAGATGGAAATTTGAGAAATGAGAGATGGTGGCACTGCACACAACATGGAAGTGAACTAATGCCCACGTCACTCGATCATGTGATTTTCTATAAGCCAGCCTGTCAGACATTGGAAGAGTAACGAAAATGACAAAATTACGGCAGTTTTCCATCTTCTTTTTCTTAATCTATGGTTTGCTGTGGTGTTTGCAGCACCGACTAGCGGTGGAGTATCTGAAGCTGGTTCGTAACCTAAATTTTAGCTCTCAACTCAAAGCAAAAAATTGGCCGAGAGATGGCTTGTATCTGAAAAACTCGTAAGTTGGGATACTCGTAAGTCAAGTTACCACTGTACCATTATTATAACAACAATGCTTTTTTATAGTGAGAAAATCATTACAGAAGACCTCATCTGAGTATTCTACATTCATCATAATACTGTGATGTGTTATAGGTAGTGTAAAATTCTTGACACTATTTTATTCTTTTTTCCCTTTTTTTATGGTAAAAGCATAATACCAGAAGACAAATCTTTAATCTTTATTTTTTAACATATTCATTTTCATCTATTCTTTTAAGAAAAGTCCTCTTCAGTCTACAAAGGAAATGAATTACAAACAAAAATAAAATTTTGTTTTTTGACTTAACAGTAAAAATGTTATAATATCACAAAACACTTCAAAAAAGATTTTTACATTTTTGAACTTGGGACTTTGAAATGCAAAAAGAACTTTGGGAGTTTTTCTGTACGATTGGATGTTAGTGTATGTGTGTGGGGGCACAATATGACAATTATTATTTTTACAACATACACAAATTGCCGACTGTCTGTAATCTAACCTAATTACAGCTTTATGTTCTTTAATACAGCTTTCCAATGAGTAGCTGTCTTACTAATATTGTAGTTTTTAATATCATACATATATCCAAATTTATGTACCACACAATCATTTGAAATTTGTGATATGATGATCTATAATAAGTAATTATAGATTACTGGTTTATCCTATCTAGAACACATCGGATTCAAGAAATCTTCCATTTTACTTTGTGGATTATAATACTGATTCTTTGAAACTAAGCTATTGAAAAATTATTAAATGCAAAAATTGCTAATCAAAATTTCTGGAGTAAAGAAGAGAATGGAGATAAAATGGAAGAAAAATAAAGCAAAATGTGATCAGTATATATATATATAAAAATGGACATGTATGTCCCTATATTTCACTTTTCTGCCAAAACTACACATCGCACGTGAATGGTGTTTGTATGTGGTGGTAGCGTCTCGATAGCTATAAGGGTGTGGGAGATATGAGGCTGAAAGTGGTTGAAAGTGGCTTTCTATTTCGAATGTTTTGTTTGAATTTGTTCGAATTAAATTCGAACATAAAATTCGAATATTGGTTCGATTATAGAACGATTGTAAACGTTC